GCTAAGTTCCATTGATTTGGCACACATTTTATGACTGTTTGATGAGTTGGCCTCTCATTGGAACACCCAACTTCTGGCAATTTGGTCTCCAGTACCTCACCTTTGGGCTTTGACAATGGATGCATTCCATCAGGATGGGATGTTATTACTATTCTATGCCTTCCCTCTAATTCATACGTTACCCAAGGTACTAACTGTTTTGTTCTGACCCATTGTCGATGCCTGTGGGTAGCACCTGATTGGTGGCTACACCCTCATTTCTGCTTCTGTGGTACCTTCAGAGAGTGTCCACCTCTTCCACTTCTTCTTAGGCCATCTCTGTGAAGGCAGCCCTGATTTGACAGGGTACACCTGGCTATCCAGAAGCTCCAGCTTCAGGCATAGAGGTTATGCAGTCTTTCATATGGTATCGGGGTTTAATTTTAAACATGTATCTGTCTCAGTTTGATTTTGCTTAGTCCTGAAATGGACATTTCTCAATGGAAATGGCACATATTATCAGCAATGGTATATGTAGAGTAAGATGAACCCACTTCAATCAGAAGTGCCAACCATAACTTGTTTTTTGACCTGGCTCTTTGACAAATGGTTTTGCACCTTCCATATTCCCCTGTATACAGTGGCCTTATCAACTAAATATTCTTTGAGTCCCCACTACTCTCTGGATTGCTCAGGTTGTTTCGGGTCCCTTGTCCCAAACAACCATTCCAGTTACCAACCTGATACATTAAGGTGACTACATGCCCTTTCACTATACCTGTATATGTCCTGATTCTCATATGCCATGTATCACCTGTACCTGAAGGTTTATTTTTAATTGCTACTAACCTTCAGACACAGCTGGTAGGAGTGGTTTGAACTGTTTGTCTACAGACCTCTCTATCATTCTACTGATATCCTCAGACTAGTTCTTCTTATCCAAGACAGGGGTTAATCTTTTTCACCGATTCATCTGATCACCATTTCTCAATTCTATGACTGATCAGATTTTGATCATTGTCATGTTCAGTGAGTGTCTTGTTGCCTGCACTAATGCCTTTCAAGATGTTAGACAATGACTTTTTATTCTGGGCTCTCTTTGAAGGCGAGGAATCTTCTGTGAGACATGTCTCATCAGATTTGACTTATTTCTGTGCCCTTAGCGGTCCAGTTGAATTGTCCTTTAGAGGACATTATGCAGACTGGTATATGGACCTCTCCCAATATTTTTATCTCACATTATTTGCATGATCTAGCGGTATCTTCATCTGAGGGTTTTTGCCTACCTCCTGTAGCTATCTTAGTCACTTCAGCAGAAGGGTGAGTATTTTCATTGCTATATTTCAGGGTCTCTTACTTTGTCACAGGATCCCACTCTGTGGTGAGTGTTTCTCAGGCAGGTGTACTTTATTCAAACCAATTCCTCTCTAGCAACCATCATAAGTAAAGTATAATGGGATCCTGCCTGTCCCTGCCGATCATCAGATTGGATAAATTGAGGTCAGTTTCCTTTTAAAAATTTAGGGACCTTAATTCATCTATTGCACTGCTTCCAGAGCACTGTTCCTCAGGACTCCCCAATTCACATTACCCCCAGATTCTACTGGTGGAGTTAGGGAGTCCTTACCATACCCAGTTTCCAGTCACTGAGGTGGTGGACAGTGGCTTTTCCTCCAGAGAGCTAGGGCAAAGTTGTGTGTCCTCCTACCCAGGTCCCTGAATGTTTTTTCCAGATGTTGGTAGGAATGGCACCAGCCTACATGAGAGCCTACTTATAATACCAGTTCAGAGTGTCATGAGATGAATATTGCCAAGGGCAATTAAGTGGAGTATAAAAGACTGGAGCAAGCGAGAAAAAATTGGACCAATGCTTAGATGGGTGAAGGAAGAAACTCTAGCAGTCAAGTAGTAGCTGTAAGTGTGAGAGGAGGTAAGTATTGTTGGAAATACATTTTCAATTTAGGAGAATGTTAACTTTCAGTACTCATGGTTGGCACAGCTCAGATAGCCCATTGTATGACTTTATGCTTAACAAACAAACTTGTCAATGCAACATATTTATAACCAATAGAAAGGCTATTCTGTGAACTACTTGATTATGACATCTGTATGTTAATTTATTTTGGTAGAAGTTTTAAAAATTTCATTCATTCAATAAAATATGTTTGAGGAATAATCATTTTTAATAGGTTAGTTAGTAAGCCAAATACATTCTAGTAGTTTTCGAGCATTCTTTTTTTATTGTTTGTGTTTGGAAGCTAGATGAATTCGTTTTTGGTCAACCAAGTTAATGAGGAAATTTAGGATGAAAAAAGACTGGCTTCTGAGAACAGATGGCCTCGATCCTGAAGTAAATGCTGCATTTCTTATCTATGTATTTTTGTATTGATGTATATTTTTAACAAACGTTATTAAAATGTAAAAATTATAAATTTATAAGGTTAGATAAAAAACGAAAGTAAAAAGTATATAAATAAATAAAAATTTTCTTAAAACAATGCATGAGTAATGTGTAGTTACACAATGCACATTATAACATGACTTGTGCTTATCCTAAACTCTCTGCACTTTCACTGAGTGGTATAGTTAGACACTGTTCAAAGATTAATAAAATAAAATTAAAGCATTTGCGAAAAGTTAAGATGCCCAAAGCTCTCAAGATAATTTTAATTTTCTGTTACAATCTGCAGTCATTCTATTGAAAGAGAAAAGGGTAATTTTGATTTCATATTATATTTTTCAACTTTTGCTACAATTTGTGTTAGGATAGAGAAAATAAATACAAAGATTAAAGTTTTACTGAAAATTCTTATATTCATGTAGGAAGTTCTAGAGGTTATATAAATTAAATATGAAAGCTATAAAATAAAAAGTATTTTTATTCTTAGTACGAAAATTACCTTGCACTGAAATGAGGATTTGAGAATAATACTGATTCAGTAAATTCACAGAATTTTATAGAAATACTTTAATTAAATTTTAATTTTTTTTTGTGTACAACATATTTGTAATGTTTATTGAAAGCTTACCAACTGTTGTAAAAGTATAAATATTAAATTGGGAATTATAGTAAACATTAAGTTTCTAGTACAGGGCCATTCCAATGGACTGACCCCGTGCATGTAAAATTTAACTCAATAGATCAAGAAATGGCAAGTTTACACTTTATTGTTTAAGGAACTTCACAATAAATCCTGATGGCACAGAACCAAAATTTCTCCTTTCTATCCACTTGTGGTATTTTCAGGTAAACTGACTTCCCAACAAGTATCAGATAGGCAAACTCACAAATAACAGCAGATTTGATCAACAAATAAGGGGATTGTTCTGTAATAGATAACTCAACTGAGTTCACTTAAGTGTAAAATAACAAACCTGGAAATAGATATGAATAAATGAACAAAATGTTATTATAAATAATTGGAAAATACAATGCTCCTATGCAGATGAAATGACAGTCTTATATTTTAGGCAGTGTTTGACTTCACAGCTTTTCCTCAGAATTACTCTTCGTAGAACTAAAACAAATTTTTGAAAGAAGTCTTAACTTGTAACAATCTCGTAGTAGAAATTGGTTAAAGAAAGTGATCAATTCAACATGTAAACCCACTTTCTTTGTCCTGTCGATAATGTCACCTCCTGACCTTTGCTTCCCTGTAGCATTGGTCAGATGTAAAATTTAGTCATCATCATAACTGGCCAGCAAAGGATATTCCAGTGCCATTTTTATTAACCCAGATGCTATATTTTACTGAAGAATAGACAAGACCTACTATACAGAACAAAAAAAATGAAGCAAATAGAACAAGATAATCTTAGCAACTTTCTTGACCAGGTGTTGCTGCCATTACAGCAATGCAACTAAATAACTGCAAAAATTTGCCAAAGAGCATATATCACCAAATGGGTAGAAAATATATACCTGAATATCATTACTAACAAATACTTTAATCAAGCCTTAATCCATTCACTTCTGGGGCATATTTCATTGGACTTGTGTATATGGGTAGGTAAAAGTGTGCTTGTAACAATCCTTTTTACAGTTACATAATTTTAATTAAAACTACTTTATTATTAATATATGTCAATAAACTTGACGTAAATATGTAACTAATAAATCAGATTTTAATATAAGATTTAATTTAAAAAGGAAATATTTATATCAATTCTCACTCTTCATTTTTATATATCAGTGGCACTCATTCAGTCTGAATTGCACATTTTCAATATTTTTTCCACCCCCTATTTGAGCATCTGAGTTTTAATACATATTTAAAACTTAAAGTATAGATTTTGTTGAGACATAATCAAATTTTATAGCCTTCAATCATCTTGTTTTTCATAGCTACAAACCAGAAAATCAAATCCACATGCACTGCCCTCCTATCATGTACTGTTTGTCAAAAAATGTCAATAATTCTCTTTCACATTTATTATTACATTATTTATAACCAATGAAAAGAGAAGATTTTAATTTACTGATTTCCATATAATACTTGCTCATTGTCATGACAGCTTTTGAATTATTCAGCCTTCAGAATCAAAGTTATCACTAAACTAAACCATCCATATTTATGCAATTTATAGTGTTGTAATAGTAGTAGTGAATTGGGGTATATTTTGTTGCCTGTTTTACTCATAAAGTGGTGTTGAGTCCAGGAAACAAAGTAATGGGTTTTCTAATTTTTTGTGTAAGCAGTGTATAATGTAAAGTATATAGTTTTTCTTTAGTGTTTACATCACTTGTGTAATAAGTTTTTCCACTGTGTACACAGACTGCTGTCCCAATTGGTTTTACAAAACAAATTGTTGGGATGTTTTTTTCTACATGTATTAAAAAGTGAAAATTAATAAACTGTTTAAAAAATCAAATAAAACATTTTTACTTTAGGTTCTTAGGTCAAAGTCCATGAAGACTTCTATTGTATTAAAAAGTGCTGTAGAATTAGAGATTATGAGCCTGTGGTTTAGGTGGTTTTTCCATGTAGATATAGCTTTTGTTGCTCATTCATTTTTCACAGGTACCTTTTGTCCCATTCATTCCTTTTCTGAGCATTTTTATCAACCTGTACCTGATAACGAAGCTTTCCAAAGCTACTTGGATCAGGTTTGCTGTCTGGATGTGTATTGGTAAGTAATAATTTATCTCATACAGTGTAATTTGTTGCAAGTAGCTATTTTGTTTGTTGGTTGATCTTTAACAAAATTAATATTTTTCAATTAGCAAACAAATGCGTCAAAAGAATTACTTACAAATATTTATACAGGTATTCAGTACATCTTTAACTTGCTCAGTATTTTAGTAAATGATTTTCTTTTGTGTATCATTTATGATTTGTAAGTGTATGTGGTGCTGAGTATTTCAGTATATATTACACACACACATACACCTCAGATTCACTAACCCTCTGGATATGGGTGTGTCAAAGTGTGCATGTCAAAACTTTTTTTTAGGGGTCACATTCAGAATTTAAAGTACCTTTATGGTCAAAGTATTTTAATAAACTAAGCACCAAAATATTGTTTATAATTAAAATTTTTGTTTATCTAAGTTTTAATTTCCTAATTTCAAAAGAAAATATTTACATATTTTCTCATTCTTGACTCTTCTGTGTCATATGACACACTTGTGCTCCAAATTGCCCATTTCTGTTTTTGTGTTTTTTTTCAACCCTTATTTGAGTTTCTGAGTGTCCAATTGAATTATATACACATACTATGGATATTGACAAATCTAAACTTAGAAACTCCAATTTTTTTGGTTTACAGAAATATAAACAAAAATATCAAACTCACATAACACACCCCTCCCGTATCATTCTGTCTTTTGCAGAAATCTAAATAACTCTCTGATGTTCTTTTGAATTATTTATAACCAATAGAAATAACAATTTTTTTCTTTACAAGATTCCTTATACAAGTAATTTTAATTTGGTGCTCTTAATTATTCAGCCTTGATTCGTAATCATGGTGTTTAACTCGAGCATTTAATCATTGTAGTTTTAGGACATTCTGTTTTAGTCTGTGATAACGTTTTTTTTGTATTCTAAAATGCATATTTGAAATAAACATGAATAATTTTGTGGACAACAAACTATTCAAAAAAGTAGGTTTAGATTACCTCACCTGTTGATGGCAAAAGACCTGAGTACAGATATAAGTACTAACTTTATACATTTTTGTGTGTATTTATTTATTCTTGTATAAGTAACTTAATAATTAGTTTAGAAAAGAAAAATTAAGTGAAAAAGAATTAAATAAAAACAATTTCTCATGATACTTAATATCATAACACATATCTCATAGCATGATTGTAACTTGCTTGTTTGTGTACACAAAGTTGTCCCACTGTGATAAATGATTTTTGGACACTGGGGCAATCTAAGTACATCTGTAAAGCAATAACATCAAAAGAAAGAATATATGTAAGGCTAGTAGCTTATGTTGTTCAAAGAGATAAGTGTAATCATCCATTACAGTGTGCTGTCTTGTAGAAAGAAAAACAACTTAGATTTATCTCATATTTTTCAGCTTTCCATTACTGATTTCTCTACAGTTTATGTTAAGATAGAGCAAATAATGGATATAATAGTGTTTTACAGAAAAATATTTTGATGTTCACTTGGGAGGTTCTAGAGGTTATGTGTATGAAATATGTGAGATGAAAAAAAGTATTTGTATTCTTAATGTGAAAATCACCTTTTACTCAAACTGACTGAATGAAGGTTTTGGAAATTCACAGACACATCTTTAGTAAAAAGTCTTTAAAAATCTGATTTTTTTTTATACAACAGACTAAAAGCTTTACCTAATTTCATAAGATGTACTTAGTACTTTCAGAGTTATAGTATATATAGTTTCATGGTTAATGATAGTTGCTGGGCCTGGCATGGCCTAGCAGTTAAAACACTTGACTCATAATCTGTGGGTTTGAATCTCACCATCAAACATGCTTGTCCTTTGAGCCATGGGACATTATAATTTAACAGTCAATCCCACTATTTATTGGTAAAGAGTAGCCCAAGAATTAGTGGTAGGTGGTATTGACTAAGTTATTACCTCAAAAGAAGGAATGATTACTTCAAATAGATAGCCCTTGGGTAGCTTTTAATGAAATTCAACAAAGAAACAAATAAATACTGGTGGTTACAAAGTAAATCAAAATGAACAAGCCAGAATCTAGATGCACTTTTTGTGAGGCTTACTACCTTAAGTGGAAAATTGAACTGTGTTGAAGAAATTAGTTAAGTCTTCAATGGTTATTTTGAAATTGGTGCCAAATTGTTGTCATTAGGTAGATGTAAGTAAGATGTAGTATTGTTGGCTGCTTGATCCATGATAGAACTTGCGATTGTTTCTTACCTAAATATGTTATAGTTAGAGAGACAGTTAAATTGTATTTAGGTCTTACTTTTATATTTAGTTAGTTATGTATTATTTGTGTTTTAAAATTCATATTTGAAAGGTTTAATGATTTTTTTAATATTATTCTAAGCTTCACTTCACTTGAAAAGATTAGTGCAAAATAAACCATCTCTGCCGATGATAACATTATATTGTCCAGGCACCTGTTGATATATGTTGACATGAATGATTAAATATCAAGATT